GCACAGCCTTGCTCATCATTACAGACAGCTTGCTTTGTTCCCTGGAAAAAAGCCCTTAAATTTTGTCTAAATTAAGATGGACAATTTCTACAGTCCCCTCAGTGTCTGTATAACAGAGTTGACTGTGAGTATGATGAGACCTATGACACCATATTTAAATTATAAAATTGGGGTGAGGAGAAAGGAAAGGGGTCTCAAGCTATGTTGCCCCAGCCCTGATTACAGGAGATTTGTGAACATGTATGAATTCCACATTTTGAAGAGTTTTTATAATCCAAAAAAATATGTGATAACATGTGTTTGTACATACTGACACAATCATTAAACAAATAGTGGCTGAAGCTTTTAAAATCTATTAACTACATCAGGCTTTGTAATCACAAATATGCCATTTTCAGTTTCAATCCAATTATAAGACATTCTATGACTCATACCAATACAAAATGTATGGGCAAATAAAGATGCTCAATATCATATTATCTATAAAGAGGACACAAGTTCATTGTACACAAATACTCTCTACTTTGACTTGTCTTCATGTGATGATAAATACATGATAAGTACAGATGTTAAGCAAAACGAAATGCAGACTTGGTGCCAGCAGAGAAACAAGTCCTTGAAAAGATGACCCCCTCAACTTCGATTCTCTTATTACCGCTAGCAAGTGAACATCTTGCAATACTGAATGGCAAAACAAAATAAGCTCGTGGCCGGGTATTCTGAAGAAGCTCATTTTATGAGTATATACCACAGCTATGCATATCAGTACCTCTTAGCACTAGTTGCACTGATTTCACGGTGAATTCAAAATTTTCGGCGAACCGCGGGTCTTCCCTCCCGTGCTTTTCATGATTGAAGCATTGACCAAAGCGTTTCTGTGCAGACTTTTCTCGGTCAGTTGCAAACAAGATGCAAGATTACGAACAAAATACACCACAATACACTTATCAACGAAGTGAGACTGTTTTTTTCCCTTAGAATTGGACAGACTTTCTTTTTCAAGAGCTTCCGGAAGAGATTCGAAGCAAAATCGTATATATCTACAGTGTAATTAACGAATATTCACTCCGCAGTCGAGATGTTCACTCCACGCCATCTTGACACAAACGATCAGATTTTGGATACCGCCCATGATGCTTAGCAATCGTAGTGCGCACACCACCTGAGGTGCAGCTGACTGGAATGCACGATCGCGCAAGATTAATGCCAGGTAACTCGAGGAATATAGACTCATTTGACCTTAGAGAGTACCTGGATTGCTTTTTGATAGTAATTAAATCAATTAAGTAATTAGGAGCTTGACCATATAAGCTCTTAAAAGTCAAACGGTAGAACCTTAAACTTGAAAATTAGGTAGAGGCAAAAAAGATTGTATCATTTACCGTAGCATAACAAGGTAGAAACTCTCGTCGTTGTTGACTATGAAAAAATCTGGGACTTTAAGTACGAAAAACCACTACACGATGGTATTAAGGGAACAATTTGCATCACGTGACCTAGATATTTGACACTCTCAGAGAATGTAAGGCTCAGCTAGACTCTAACTAAGGGGCTATCTTGAGATCACAAAATAAGTATTAGTGCATGCTTTGACCTCCAAGTGAGTTAGTTCAACAGTTAGAGTTAGTGGTTGTCTCGAGCTGGGATTTGCGCTTCAAAAAGTCACTTGACAAATATTTCCATCCACTCTGCAACACTCTAGGGTGACTAGCTATACGCTGCTATGTATGTTGAATTAAGAATATTTCGCACTTAGTCTCTAATTTAAAAATCCCCCCCCCCCCCCCCCCCCCCCTTTATTTTTTTTTTTTTTTTTTTTTTTGAGTGCTGCCGGGGGTTGTCAATATACTTTTTTTTCTCCCTTTTCTTTCTTGTTTTGTCTGTCGGACAAGATTTTTGTTTTATAAATATAATTTCGGTCGCAAGAGGAAATTTTTTCCTTTTTTTTTTTCTTTT